TTTGAAACTTGATCGTGGTTCCAGATAACTCGAAGTACCCTGGCGAATGAATTTTTCGTACGGGTTACCTGCCCACTTTACTTCTCTGACTTGACCTTTGCGGAAGAATACGATGAAATCGTTTCCGCCCACACTCAGTGGGACGTACAATAGACCGGCGATAACTGAAAACCCGGGAGGATATTGGAGTTCGGGAAAATCCTCACGGATGTCCTGAGTAGTCAATACTGAAGTGAATTTTCGCAAACGTAGATACTCCAACATAGCCAAGGCTTCTTGGGACTGCTCAATCTTCCCCAATATTTTTGTCTCGCCCCGGATGGACAGCATTCCAAAATCGGCGTCAAATAGTTTTATAAGGTCATTAGATGAGGCGGTAATATACCCTGAGGGGTTCTTGTCGGTCGGCATAGTATTGATAAGTTTCCTTGCCTGGAGGCGTGACGCATACGAGAGTCGCTCGATATTGCGCGATGCCGTATCGCCCACCAGTCGACATAGCTTTCGAATCGGGAACGGAACTCGCATTCCGGTAGAACCGTAGCTATGGCATGCAATGAGTCCCCATAGTTCATTGAAGGCGTTAATGGATATGGACATAGAGGACCGGACGGCCATATTAGCAAGGTATTTTAGGTGGATCGGAGACATGGCTCGAAGATAGGCATGGCTGAGATCGAGCGGCCTTTCTAAGTCCTCGGGGGATCGACAAACGAGCCTTGCAGATTCTAAGTCCCGGTCGTAAAGTAACCGGACTTTATTAAGCTTGTATAGATCTCGCGCTTGTTTCGGGATATCAGAAGCTGGGAAATGTAAACCATAGTAAAGATCACGAGTCTGTACAGGATCAACCAATTCCGTCACAACCTTTCCGTTAAATGCCGCGTCAAATTGATAGATCATGACCCGGTGAAATCCAGTGAGTTCTTTGACAATTCCAACCAATATCTTGAGGAACATTTGCAAATTTGGCGCGGATGCCAACTGATCTTGGACTTGAGACATTATATCAAAAACTTGCATGGCACTAGCCTCGCCACGTCTATTCCGTGCGCTTCTAAGAATCCTCAGGGGTCTGCTGCTAGTTTCGGTACTTTCGTGCAGTTCCTCCATCGTTGGGGTTTGGCAGAGAGTGTCCCTAGGCCCACCTGATGTCGGCTCATCAACCGGCCGGAGGGGGTGCTCTTGATCATCCTCAAGCTCAAACTCGCAGATGATCAGCTCTGGATGGCTTGCATTAATATGTATTGCGCACCATAGCTTTATAGACTTCTTATGAGGTGGCCGTATAGATATACTGAATACATCAGGTCCATTAGTAGCCGGGTCGGCTTCTTCGTCTCGGATGAAATCGATATGATCTAGAAGATTATCAGTCTGCTCTTCGGTCAGAATATCGGTAAAGCTCTCGAGTCGAAACAACTCCTGTGGTGAGAACCCAATCATCTTCTTGGAGTTTTCGCTGACGCATCGAACAGCGAGTCGGCCATCGGTTTCCTCCTTAAGAGCGACAAGGAGACCGAAGGCCTGGACAGCTCCAGGGGTATGGATCGGCTCATCTTCGCATCGCTGTAGGCTACCGTCGCGCCCAGTAATAACAGCATGACCTTCCTCTGTAACCACGTGACGGAACCGGGCTGTCATTAACGTATCATTTAATTCTCCAGGCGATATACGTCCAGAAGAACTCTCTTCAGTATTCAAAGGCGTACTGTTCTTCGTCTTATCGGAAACGTCCGAAGATGCATCATTGTAGATAGAAAACGGACCAGCAGGGACATCCCGTTTCAATTTGGGGGCCGGACTAGCAGCACGTGTTTCTTCCTTGTTTGGGTCTTCTATACCATCTTTCTCCTTCGATGGTCCTAGAGACGACGAAACAGGAGTAGACACAGTTCCAATTCTTTTAATTCCATCAGTCGTGTCTATCGAAAGGCGAGCACTACTTGGTCGTCGCCGGCCGTCCCAAGTCGATCCTTGGCGGGCTATATAACTTTGTTCTCCCATATTTTTTACCAATGTTAGGGGCGTTTGTTGCGACTGGTCGACACTGACCACAGAACGAATGGGAAACACTCTATCCGAAGGGTCTGCATTGCTAGCACTGGTGCCGCGACGATGTTGACTATCCGCACTCGCACTACAAGATGAAGGAATATTCGAAGCTCGTTTGGGCGCAATGTCGCCATTTACCGCTGTAGAGGTTTCCTCCACAGGGATCGGAGGCGACTTTGGTTTTACGGCGGGAGTATCTTCTACAGATGTAGGCGCATTCGTCGATTCCTCATGGTGATCTTCTTTGTAGGATGGCTGGGAAAATGATGTTGTGTTATCATCATTTAGCGTCCTGGGCTCAGAGGGATCGTGAATAACAGGATCAGCGGTGTTCCGGTTTTGGATCGCCGGATCTTGACTTGACTCCATACTATAGGGAGATCAATGGCGACGACCTAAAAGCCGAGATGAATCGATCGCAACCTCGATCTCTTTAGTTATACCACTTGGACTCAGCACGCCCAACTTCCCCCTGTGTGGCTCCTACCAGGCCCAATCTGGATGGCCCCAATGGCAGCGATACCCCAGCCCTTTTCACAAATAATATATCTCGTTCTAGATTTTCAGCGAGGTAGATGTAGCACACGAGAGAGCGCTGGGAACATGGGAGGATGAGAGGGGTAGCAAAAGCGAGTTCTAACTCCACAGCAAACAAGTGAAGAATATAGAGATTACTTCCAAACTGAACATCGAGAATTAAGCACCAAAATCGGAATTAGAACATGGGAAAGCAACAATAGCAGATCTGTAGTGGGGTCAATTGAGTTAATGCGCTGGGTGCGCTGGGTCAACTACAGAAGGGAAGGAGCCCTATGCTAGTCGCCACTCTCCCTCTAATTTTCTTTACTTCCCCCTACCCATGTAAGGTAGGTACAAATGATTACTGATTACCTCTACTTTAAGTACCTAGGTACCTATTAGGTATGCCAGAACATTAAGGACGTCAAAAAAGGTGGCGCACTTATTACATGTACCTAGGTACCTAATACCAAATGTATATCCAGGCACCATCAGGCCGCATATGGTGACAGGGAAGTGGAATGAGAGCTATCAATTGCAGACAGATCTACTGCATAGGTATACAATATGTCAAGTACATGTATACCTATGTGCTATGTTATAGTGTACGTAAGTACATACGACGAGCCAAGAAGTTGACCATTATTATCCCTTTGATACTAGTGGCGTTAAAAGGAGCATTTATTCCTAATGTCGTTGACATCATTTTGCAGAGCTAGGTAATGTAAAATGCCTTGGAATTATTGAGTAACCTATTCAGGCAAGGCAAAAACTCTATCCGTTCTTTTTCCCCCATTGGATTTTATAGTAGGTACACTACCTTACGGCCGGCCAAAATTCCGAACACCAAAAATTTACACAACTACAAAATACTAACTTATTAGGTTAGTAGGTCAGGTAGAAAATAACAAGATGAGACACTTACATGCCTCTTACACCACAGTGATACACTACTAGATAAATTATATAATTACCAACTATACCGGACACCAAATAACACTACTTTATTTAAGGCAAAGAAACAGGCAGTCTACAACAAGAGTATAGAACGACAACAAGTCCTTTAACTAAACACAATTCAATTATACTTCTTTATCTAGGAAGATCAAGAAAACAGTTTGATAAAAACAGCAACATTGTATCTTTTCTACAAAAGAATATCATTCTCACCCCTTAGTATAAAATAAATATGATTATCTACGCAGCTCAGTAAAGAATCTACTTGTCGATTTATTTCAGCACACTTGTCTCCAAAGGGATATTTAACATACTAAACATCGTAGACACTACACGGAATCGGAAAAGGTAAGTGTACCGGGTAAGCTTTTCGCACTTCCACCAAGAAAATCATCCTTCTACACTAAACCCGATCGTAAGTATGAAGAACACTTCCACTTTCACGGCGCGAGCCAATCCTACCAATTCTACAGAGCCATCCAAATTCCCGCCATGTGAGCAGGTAGTATGTCCGGAGATCGAGATGACCGATTATGATTATACCCAGGAGAACCAGGAGAACCAGGAGAACTCCTCAGGGGATGTAAACATGGTCGACGTATACATCCCTCCCCAGCAGGACCAGGGACTGCTAAGGGATGATCCATTTCTAAGAAAGGATAGCAATACCAAACCGAAGTCAAAACAGACTAACATTATACTACACTCAGCTATAACTCAAACCGAGCCTCCTTCAAGCTTTGAGGTTGGAGTCTTTGAGTTACTGAGGGAGAAGAAGATATACTCCATCACTTACGAGAAAGGCAAGGTTGAGGTTAATATCGAGTAGCATGGCTCATGTAGCGATATGTGTAGTTACTTCATAGTTTGAGGGTAGTAAGTGCCTTCAGTATTAGAGACTATAAGTTTAGGTACCTGTAAGTAGGTAGTTAAGAATATTGCCCTTTAAGGTAGCCTGTAGTCAAACGTCTTAGTAGCTCATATTCGAATACATAGCGAATTTCATATTTTCTAGAGTACCTAACCTAAGTACCTAACCTAAGTACCTAACCTAAGTACCTAAATCAAAAATATTTTAATCTATTCAAACGTACGTAATATAATTCTACAGTGACATCGCAAAGCCTTAGATATGTCAACTACCTAATAGATTCTACCAAGTATAAGTGTTTAAATAACATCTATGCAAACCGTAGCAATGTAAGTTTAAATTAATACTACTTTATCCTGTCGAGTATTAGCAAAGATATGTAGATGAAACGAGACTGAATGCAAAAGGACAATAAGGGTTAATCCCGGACGACGCCGTCACCGACCCGGGTCATTGAATCAATCAGATCACCCTGATCACCAAATGCATCCCGACCCCAATTTACACTCCGCTAGCTGGAAGCCCATTTTACCTGCAAGCAATTAAACCCACACTATTATCCCACGTATCGGGTACCTTTCACCAAATCTCACCAGCCATGAGCAAAGCCTCCGCGCCCAAGAACTGGCCACCAACATTCCCCTACCTCCAACAACCCTCTTACGCACCCCACGTAACCAAGGCTCAGCAGCAAATTCTCCGTATCCGGGACCCGGAAATCTCAACCGAGATCCCACGGGACTTTCCGCGCGGGCCCTCGGCCCTCGCGAGGATTATCCCTATCAGCGACCCCTCGCACCCCGCGCACGGGCAATCCGGGCTATTTGCCGCGCGGCCGCTCCCGCCCGGCTCCCTCGTGCTCCCCTACTACGGGGTCGTGCACTCGTCGGTGCCGCCGCACTCCGCAGCCCACGAGAAGTCGGATTACGACTTATGGCTAGATCGGGACGGGGCCTTGGCTGTTGACGCGGAGCGCGCGGGCAACGAGGCGCGCTTCGTGAACGACTTCCGGGGGGTCGCGGCGCGGCCGAACTGCGAGTTCAGAGAGTGCTGGGACTTGAGGCGAGGGGAGAAGTGCATGGCTGTCTTCGTTCTGCCAGCCGGCAAGAACGCGGGGAAGAAGGCTGCTGCGGGTGTTGCGAAGGGCGAGGAGATTCTTGTTAGTTACGGAAAGGGGTTTTGGAGCAAGAGGAGAGATGAGCTTCAAGAAGAAGATGGCGGCGTAGTTGACGAGGTTACCTCCTGAATGGAGGAACACTATTGTCAACAGTGGAGCTCAACGTTTAGAATTGGAGGGTTATTGAGTCCCTTAACTAGACGTATATCAAGAAACGAAATGAAATATGTGTCAATTTTGGTTTCCTTTAGCATCTATGTAGATATTTACCAAGTATAAATTGGCTGGAGCAGAAATACTCTGTTCCGTGCGACCCCCTTACATCGTCTAGATCCCGGTCTTTTCTACATCATCCCCATTTCTCTCTACAGGAAATTCCTGTAACCATACCCTTCGTTCTCCACACCAATCGAACTAGACTTAGGATCGGCTCCTGCCTGACGTGCCGCCTCATCGTTCTTCTCAAATTTCTTATTCTCCCAGCTCAGATACGTGCGCAGGGCCAAGGCCAAGAACGCGTTGAAAAACATAAACCCCGCGCATACACCCATCCCCTTAATGTAGTACGGCCCATCACTGGCCGGGAACACCCGTGTTCCAAGTAATGGACCGCATTGACCGATGATGTTAAGAAGCGCGATGCCGGCACCTCTCTTAGAATCCGATCCTTGGTTGTTCAAAGTCCAAGGCAGGATGTTAGATATAGCTGGGAACACACCGGCAGCGGCAAGGAATACGCCAAAATAACGCACAGCAACGCTCTTGCAGGATAGGAGAAGGACATACCCCACGCCAGCAAGAAGTGAGAGGCCGATGATCATGAAACCGCGCTGGCGTGTCTTGTCTGCGATCCACGTGGAAAAGCAACAAACGAGAAATGAGAGAAAATAGGGCGGGGCACTAAGCCCCTGGGCATTGATGGCTGTAAATCCCATGTTCTGGAGAATAGAGGGCAGGAAAACGGGTAAGCTACTAAATGAGACTGTTTCGAGTGATTAGTTTATACAGGCAACTAGGGGGGTTGTAACGCTCACCATTGCAACTGAAGTACACTATAAGGGGTTAAAGTCAGCCGCTTTTGCTTGTAAGAAGGAGATAATGGGACAGTCATCGAATTCATGGTCCCGGATAGCAAAAGCCAAAACTAGTAGTACTTACTTAAAGGTGGGATCCAAGTTTTAATATCCTTTAACGACATGAAAATTTCTTTGAAATTGATATGTCCCACGCGTTCTACTCCTTCGGTTCCAGTCTGTTGAATGGCTCTAATTTTAGCAACTTGTCTTTCTTCTTCAGTTAAAAACTTCGCCGTATCGGCCGAATCAGGCATGTATGCATAGGCAAGAAAGGCGACGAGGACTGAAGGGAGTCCTTCCACGATAAACAAGAGTCTCCAATTGGCTATATGAGCTGGGTGGCCGGATGTTATCCCGTAAGCTAGAGCGCCCGCGAAGGTAGTCTATTGTCATTAGAATCATCTAAATATGTTTATGGAAAGGGGGTATTAAACAGGAGAGGGTTAATAGTTTATACATTGTTATATAGTAAATGAGATAATGAAGGTAACCATTTACTAAGGAAATATACATACAGCAAGAGGGGCGGCTGAGAGGAACATGCCGCACCTAAAACCGAGCTCGTGTCTCTTATAGAAGAAAGAAAGCAGGTATGGTATTCCCGGTCCAAAACCTGCCTCGGCCATAGCGAGGAAGAATCGGCAAGCCATTAAACCAGACCAATTGAACGCAGCAGCCTGAAGAGAAGACGCTATGCCCCTATAGACTAATAAGTATTTGATGCTCGCGTATTTTCCATGGGGTTACTTACCATACCAACACACAGCTAGTAGCCCAAACTGTGAATGTTAATTAGTTACGTGCACGTAACAAGAGAGTTATGAGTAGGGTTGCAACAGAAGCACTTCCTTCTACGAGCGTGGTAGCTCTTGGGGAAGTGTTGGTTTGCCTTATACTTCAAGCCACGAAGTAAAGGAGGTTATATAATTAACTGCATTTGGGAAATACATACGATGACTATTAATAATCGTTAGCGAATCCCAAATATTTATTAACCAAAGGACAACTTACGGAGGCACAGCTTTCCACATCAACGCAGACCATTCAAAAACGACTATCAAATTGGGTCAGCCATCGTCATAGTAGAAAAATTATAATTTCAACGCTAGAGTGAAACTCACTATATGGTATGTAAAAGATAGTCAATAGCCACTATGTTGCCATATTATTAGTATAGAAACCCGCTTATCATAGAGATTGAAGACAAACCTGGTAATGAGCATCATCAAACCCAAGGTCCTTGCTCCTGTGTTAGAAAAGACTCGTTAGCAACTATACACTTTAGGGATTTGCTAACGCCATTCGATGTTGGGTACTCCCCCTCCCCTCCCCGATACTTATCAATGGTCTTCATCAAAACAGCAGTAAATCAGAAAATGATGAACGTACATGCCTGCCGTCTCAGCATTTCCAATATTTGAACGGTCAAGGAAAGAGACGAGATCTATTAATCGGGTGTAAGTCGTGAGCCTATGCGGGGTACGATATGGTATGAAGTATGAAGACACTTACAGAGGCCCATAACTAAGGGAATTAAACGGCGATCAATTTTCCTCCTAACCCGCTTCTCGAGGGCAGGATCAATGTGAAAAACATTGTTCTCGAGTCCCAGAGACTTCTCATCAAGGCTAGCACATGCACCTTCACGCCTATCCTGCGTAGGCTCTTGGTCGCTTTTGGATATGTCCATTCTGGCAACGCGAAGTCAGCTCGCCTCAGGATGAGTCTACTTGAAATGGATTCCGAGAAGCGGGTATAATGCCAAAATGGTCTGGGTAGTTGGAGAACGTATTGGTGCGCCGTCTAATACTAGCAACGGATAGGACTAGCGGCCGGGATGTCACAGCGTCGACGTATAAAAAGATGGCGATATTTTATAAAGAACTTCTAAATAGCGGTGACATTATATATTCAGATTCATCTGATTTCAATTATCTGGCTTTGTAGGATCGGAAATAATGGCATGGGGATAACTACGGCTTCCCCGCTTCGGTATAGATCAAGTACCTAAGGTAGCCACTCAGAATTACGAGATTACCATTGTATTGGCTATGGATACTACTTCGCTGAATGTTACCGATGCGCCGTCTTGCAACCCATTGCCGAACCCCAATTCCGTGTTGGTTCGCTGGGGGTTGAGTGAGATCCCCGTAATATACGAAGTACGAATGATCTCTCCTAAATGATATCATAACATTTTCATGCGCTTTTAGTAAAGTGCGGAAAGGCACGACGGGCCGGTTTTTAGGAAGAAATAGTTCAACTTTACGCAACCAGCCTTAACCTAAAACGCAATAAGCTTAAATCAGATGAAATAATTGAGTTGAGAATCCGGTTGGATATCTGATTTGTTACCTAAAGTACCTAAGATAGTCACGTTACGCTATTGGTTGATATACGTATAATGTTAGGTACTTGTGTAACCCTCGGCCGACAAAATAGATACAACTACTTGAGCCTAGATGCTTAAGATATATGCATACTGTATATATCAGTTGCCCGAGTAGTTATGATGCGTTTCCGTTTAATAGCTATATCTAAAGGTTGTAATTGGTAAAGTAATAAAATACCATCATATCAAGCATGTATCTAATAACAAATTTTAAACGTGGTAATACATCGTCAGCAAACTCGAATCGTTGGTCTTAGTTTAACTAATATATAGATAATGTAAAGTATGGACTCAATTCGGCATATTGAATATGAATTTTAATGAGCCAGATACCATGTAGATGAGAATAAAAACGCTATATGTTAGTAGCTTCCTATATCTTTCAACTACCTAACGACATTACTTCTACTGTCTAAGTAAGCACCTAGGTAGGTAGAATGGAATTTATCATACATGTATGACTATCTTCGGCTAGTCACCTATGAGGAAAGAGGAATAAAGAAGGAGGCTTCTGTTTAGGATCAGGCAGTTTAGACCTAAAACATCAATAAAAATCTTTAAATATAGGTAGACGTCACAGAAAGATTGGGGGTGCTTTGTTCCCTAAATCCACTTGTCGGCGGGTCGGGGCCGATTAGACAATATGCATTAACAACAACAGGTCTCTTACAAAACAGTCTCTTTCCGCAATTAACAAAGAGAAGTCATCGAGAACCCCACATGGATACGGGAAGAAAGAACGAAATTATGTATATAGCGTTAAACTCAAGATGGCTGGTCAGATCAGAGGAAGTAGCGACAGGACAAGAAGAAACAGAAGGAAAGAACACCTATATAAAATATCAATCTAAAAATCATTATGAGCAACTCTGTAGTAAACCGTATTTTCTCCGGAAAGCAAGAGCGGATCGAAAACCAAGTTGCGGACTTTTTGCGTAAGCCAGGAGCTCTAAAAGATGCCGAAGCGTACCTAAATCAAACCAAAGACCACAAGTATGGTAATCACGAGAAATGGATAAAGGAGAAGACAGTTTTTACTGAATACGCCGGGGGCCCTGCTCTCCTTGCCGAAGGTGAAAATGTACTTATAATAGGGAACCACAACTCCTTTGACGTTACGCAGTATAAAGAAGACCCGGCAAAAGCAGGCATGTCGATGATTCATATCCTGGGGATCCCCAAAAAGGGTATTTTCAATGGTGTATCGCTAAACCATGATACTGTATCCGTCATTGACGAGACAATAGACCTATTTAAGGACAAGTGGGAAACTCCCGACTTTCGCCAGAAGGTCTTAGACTACCAGAAGTTAGCTATAAAAAACCGGACTTCCACGGAATCGTTTGCAAGACGGAATGATGGGCTTGACCCGAACCCGGTCCTAGAAGCAGGAGATGAAGCTATTAGTCACTGGAAGGAACTCAAGACTGGGATCCACACCCTGACGTTTGACGACTTTACCTTTGGTCTCCATCTATGGCCCGACCATAGCGTAGGTCATCTTCACCTACATATTATCGCTACGCCGGATTGGTGCCGCCAGTATAGCACTTTAAAGCACGACGAGAAGACCAAGGACGCACTTGAAGTTCGAGATTTCATCCGAGGTCTTGCTCCAGTATAAACTTAGATAAAATAGAAGTAACGTAACTGCCTTGCCGGCGTCTCACTTAATGTAATAGCTTAAATTATTTTCTTAGAATGATTATGGTCGTTTGTGATGAAGTATCACAGAGCTCACTGCTAAGGTTGTACAAACTAGATTCCACCCCTGAAAGATACTCACTAAGTAAACTGCTAAAATATACCACTTGCAATAAAATGAAAAGTGTGTTATGCCTATAATTCGAGATTGATTGATATGTCCCCTTCTTGAACTAGTGATTGGTAATAAACTACAACCTTTAATAAATTCGGTGCCAATATGCCGACCTCATCATTACTCCCTAATATAAATCTCTTGACTACTAATTATATTTGCTATTCGAAATATTAGAGACTCCTCGCAAAGCCCTAACCTACAATTACCTCTCAGTTTTATGCTGCAGCCCCCTATTTCCCCACCAGAACTCACCTATTTCATAAGACTATACAAGCTACTAAATAAAGGTCAATTGAGAAACTAATAGACGTGCTAAATCCAAATCAATTTTATAGCAATTATCTGTTAACTCATGATTTTCCCATTTCCTTTCGATTCATAATAGCTGTGTGGGAAAACGCGTGACTAGCGCATGAAAATACTGGATAAATGTATTGACTATATTAACAAACTATATTTATGATAATTCTGGCTTTATTTAAGGGACGTGTAGACTGCCTATCTACATTGAGCCTTACGTCTTGTATAAAAGGGGTGCCAGTCAAGAGGATAGGAGGGTTACATAGCACCAAATGAGACTTGTATTGCAGACAACGGACATAGTTAACTATAGTAAACCAATATAATACAATACCAGGCATCTAGTACAATTTTTCATTTTGCACTTCCGCTAGAATAGTAAACTATATCAACTTTAACTATCTCCATCATGTCCTATAAAGTCCCTACCTAACTGCCTAAGGTACTATAGGATTTCATAAGAGACATACCTTAACTTCTGCTTACCAATCTCAAATTACGAAGAATACTGTATAATCTCTTATAGAGGCCAATATGCTATTACTCAATAAGCCACTACGTGTTTTCCTCCTGTAAATCACTTGCCAGCTACTTGAGAGATTCTACGGAAACTATGAAGGCTACTATGATTTACCACCATAACTGCAATGTATACTAAAATCCTCGAAGTACGTTATGGTACCGCTTAGGAGCATAGTGGTAACGTTCCCGGGTATTGAATTTCACTTAACGACTGCTGAGAAACAAACACTCTACGTCTTGCAAAAGTTCTCCTATAACTTTCCTTTAGCCTTTTGATCCTCCCGGACTTTCTGCATGCTCCTCAGCAACGCATACAATGTCTGTAGCTTAGGCATATCTACGCCAGCTCTTCTGGCAATCCTAATCGGATTCCCAAGTATGACTTCAAGCTCCATGGGTCGGCCAGCCTCCCAATCAAGTAGCATGCTGGGCCTAGCGCCGGCATTCCTTTCGGTACTGCTGATGATCTTCTCAGGCTTGGCCAAGTTATCTGGGAAAGGTTTCCCCAGAACCTTGGGTGCGGCGTTCCAGATCTCGTCCATGACGCCCTGAATGTGCTCGCGCAGTTCAGGGTCGGTCAGCTGGTCAGCATTTCCGCGGCCACCGGATAGCACGGCTGTGGGGTTGAAGGCGGCGTTGATACAGAGCTTGTGCCATCGAATAGTCTGTAGTTCGAGCTCAGTGTGCGTCTCAACATCGCGGATACCACCATGCTGAGTCCACCACCGCGCTAGCTGATCCATGCGCTGGTGGCCTTGTTTCACTACATCGCTTAGCTCGTCGTTCGGGTCAGGCGGTGTGCCGAGTCCGCTACCGTACGGTCCCAGGCTAATTCTCGTCCACCTGTTCTGCCGTACGACGCCATTCCTGATCTGCTCGGCGCTAATGACGGTAACAGCGCTCACTATCGGATTTTGCGGGAAGCGCTTACGGTATGGCTCCTCTACGCCTACGCCATTTTGTATCAGCACTATACAAGTCTTGGCGGAAACTAGCGGTGCGACTGTAGCTGCGTCGTCGGTCCGGTCGGGGAGAGCTTTGGTCGTCACTATGATATAGTCCCAACCATCTCTCGGGGATTGCCGTGTAGGCGCGGGATTGGTTGTAGCCGATGGGGTCGGAACGGCATGCGCAATGGAGGGAAACACGGCATAGGGCGAAAAAGTATAATCGCCGAATGAATGAGTCTCCAAGATGACTCCAGAGGCGGCGATAGCTGAGTAATTGGATCGGGCGATAAGGGAGGTGTGAATGTTGTGCGAAGGCTACGATGTGCCATTCACGGCGCAACCGTCAGTTGTATGTCTAGCATACTGATGACGATGCTTCGATGCTTACATGGTGGAGTCGGGATGCGTAGAAGCAGCCTACTGCTCCAGCGCCAACGAAGAGGATATGGACCGGTCTAGAGTAGTAATATTAGCTGTGTACCTTTGGATGGTTGACTGTCGGGCAATTGCATCGGTGGCGCACTTCGTTGGATTATCTGAGTTCGCCATGGCCGTTGTGGCTTGCGGACAAGAAAGACAGGGAATTGAAAAGATGTAATGTGACTAATTGGAGATGGAGGTTAGAATTGTATGCGTTTGGTTGCGCCCGGTTCCCGGGTTTCTGTCTTTGAAAAAAAAAAAAAAAAAGAGAGATGCTGTAAGATAGTAGAGGCTGGAGAAAAGCCACAGATCGGAGAACAAATCGGGCGTTTTTCTTACTGGCGTAAAAGCTAACAGCTGAAAGTTTAAAGCCCACGTTACCTAAACTTTAAATGAAGCTTGGAGAATCTGGCTTGAATTTCATTGAATTACCGAGGTTGCACCAATTGAATTGTATAGTACCTAGGTATATATCAAGTATGTAGGTACCCAGATAGGTGCTATAGAAGGTACCTAAACTACCACTAATACCGTACCTAAGGTTATACCACTATGCAATTCCATACATATACAATCGTAACTTACCTCAAATAGTTTCAACTTTCATTAACATGTAACTATGTAACTAGTTATTAATCGTGTGTTTATGTATGTCTTTAAACTTGACGTCTTTCTAACAAATCAACTCTCGAAATTATGACTAGCTTTATTCGGGGAGGCAGGCGGACATCGATCTATCGCAGGAAATCCAAGGCATCGTTTATCATCTGGGCTCGGCTTCAAAGGTTTCCGGTGAGACCATCTCTCTCACCCTGTTCAGGTGCTTGTTCGATATTAAAGAGTTCGGGTAATCAAAGGGTCCGCGTTCGACGTCAGGGGCTCTAATCAAAAGGCCCTAATCCTGCCTTTCTCATGCGCCAAGAACGAAATATGCGTACTGCTGCAATATCTATATTAGAAACATGAAGCGGTCAGTAGATGCGGCGTTGACCTACATTACATATGTATGCGTTCCCGTCGCAACCGGACGTGTCCAAGACATATACCAATCTGGGCCCAGCTTCTCTTCGGCCCCGTTCCGATTGTGGCGAAACCGTAGCGGCTACCCGCTCATCCGTTTCACCCGACCCGTCGTTGCTTTTACCTACAGAGGCGTGAGCCCAGACTCTTGGTATTCTGGGTATTCTTGGCGATGACGCCGCGAGATGGTGCGCGGGCGCTAATCTTGTCAGACAAAAGCCGTGTAACTATACCACATACCATGCCCAGCCTTGAACGCAAAAGAGAACGCTCGAGGAAAAGAGGGTGGTAACTTGTGCATCTCTTCGTAAGAGGCGTAGATGGTAGGGCGGCCAAGACCACGCCCGTTGAGCTTTAAGGGGGGAAAAGGTGAGGCGCGCGCACTCCCGGATGTAATGTTGTCAGACGCGTGATCATCAGAATAGAGCGAATGCTATGCCCCATACATGTAATGGCATGTCTCAACAAAGAAGGCCCAAAATCCCCCCCGCTAATTGAACTACTCGTGGGGTCAACTGTGGAGGATGATGGGACAAAAGGGCAAAATGGGATTCCCACGCCATATTTGCCACGTCCGCCTCTTCGCCCCAAAGCTGAACTCATCTGATAGTGACGCGCGCACAGCTACCGTAAGCTCTGATGGCGAGGAAGTGCGGATGGCAATCATGCTTCGGCCCTAACAGGCCTACTATAACTCACGTCAGCATGGGGGTTACGAGGATGGAGGAGATAGAAACGTAGGTAGTGGCAGGGGAGGGGCTTGCAGGAAGTCCGTCAGTTCCGGTATCATCGTTACACTCTTCTTCAAGGGTCTTACGAGCACGTTCAGGGGCGTTCTTAACGCTGGTCCAGGCTCCTAGCCCTGACACAACGTATTTCACTAAGGTAAGTCTCGTATCATGAGGAAAAAGAGGAAAGGGCCTGGGCTCCGCCGGCGGCGCGGGGGTTTAACGAAAGGTCTCAGACGGAAACAACTAAGATGAGGTGTCGCGCCGCTCCGCGTTCTGACGGGGGGAAGTAAAACTAAAGGTTACTCATTCCTATTTGGGCTATTGTTTAGCTACCTCAGCTCCTCCGTAGTGCGTACACATATTAGAATAGCTTATTAGTGACAAGGGAGTTTCCGAGGATAGTCTCTTCATAGAGCCGAACAGGGTTCCGTCGTGTAAGACATATCCCCGGGGGCAGACACAAGCTTCGGCGCGGCAGCCAATATCGCTTGCAGCTCTTGGCTAGATCACATCTTTGACAGCCGCATTAGTCTCTTACCCAGATACGGAGGGGGGTGTGATTTACATCGACTGAAAATCGACCTTGTTGCAAATAGGGAAACTCAAATCATCCTAGGACTAACGGTTCTAATTCTATTAGTTTAGAGATGACAGTTTCTTACTTGGATCAAAATAACCCTGGGAACTTTAGCGTTGCAATCCCCACACCAAAGAAACGTCGTCCACTCTCTCGGATTGTGGATTGCCAACGGCTGCAGGTTGATATTACTCGTCACCCACAGCTAACCGGCTTAACAAGCTTCAAGCAGTAACCAGCAGTGCTAGCCATAAAATCTCGTCGTCTGGGATGGCGAATGATACGAGAGTAGGAGTGGTCGGGCCTGGTAAAATCAAACATGAGTTGACAACCCCGCAGATAATGACTGAACGGCTCAGCCTATCCTATCCCTTATATCTTACCCCAGCCTTTAACTAGGTGCTAATGGAGGGCGGCGCGGGGGGAAATCAGAAGCTATCAAAGTCGCACGGGTAGAATAGAGAAATCTAACACGCGAGATACCATGTACGTAATTCAAATGTATCCTTAATATGACCCCTTAGCGACGAAAGCTTAACTACTACCTCACCCGGATGTATGCCGCCTGCGCGTCTATCTCGCTTCCTGATACTACACCATGAGGTCATTTGACACGAGCCTAATGTTACGGGAACTAAGGCTCGCGTCTGTTGGCTTATTTTTAACTCGTTCCGCGTTGTGTAATCCGGGGTACACCATTTATCGAATTATTTGCTTCTGATCTGTGAAGTCGCAAGTTACTTCTGCTGAAAATTCCGCCCAGCGTCAGCTTCAAAAAAGGTTGACCATCGTATTGGTTGATAATCGCCCATCTACGATTCATATCGTTCATCATCTTTAGGCCGCAGATCCATAGTAGCTAAGCTGTTGGTAGATTGTCTGCGCATTCTCTACACCACAAGCTCTTCGACCACGGGCCAACCCTATAAACCTTGCTCATCACTAAAGCCTCACTGCTACCCAATCATGCGTATGGTGTGCTCGTACTTACTACTTGTGAATGTAATTTCCTATCAACCCGGATCTACTAAGAGCGAAGCCTTAAGGTTCAAGCACTAACGACAAATCGAATCACTTTCCGTCTATGCCAAGCAGAGATCTCCGCCGGGGATCTAAAGGCATTCTACGCAGGCTTAACAGCTACGGCGGAGTTGATCCAACAGCTAACGACTGGCTGATATCCATGTCATAATGTTAAAATGGTGTGGGAGAATTCGCGGCATCGCGTGATAACCGTCCCCGTAGCGTCGGGAAGAGCCCATCTTACAATTTCTTATGCTTATTTCCGTCCGCAGTCTGTGTCGACGTGTAGTGAAGAACAGATAATGAAAGTAATGTTCATTTCAAAAATGAACGAAATTACAGCACTCCACATCAGCAGCATGGTCTAGCCCTTCTGATCATCAGGGTTATGCCCGCCTTTGCTTTTTTTTTTTTTTTTTTTTTTTTGAGGATGTATAACAACATTTTCATAAGCCCTATATCAGCTCGGGACTATACCTTATGATTGGTGGTAATAAGATAACCTGCGACAATAGTCGTGGAAGCCCAATCTGACGACCACGATCAAGTAAGATTTTGCTAAACGAAAGAGTAACGGTACGAATACTGAAAAAAGTATTGAAAATTATGTGACCTCAACTGATTCCCGGACTCTCAAGGAGATGCAAAACGATCTCTCCAATCCGGGCGCCCAGCAACGGGTTCGTATTCTAATCTCTGCCAGGAGCGAAAACACTCGCGTCAATAGTTGGACTGCGAATGCCGATAAACGTACGAAACGTTTGACTGGCATGTTCTTAATTTCTTTTCATCTTGTCAATGGTTATTCTGGAGCTCACCATCTCGATGCTAGACTTCTAGACGTTGTTACGAGCCAACAGGTTACAGAATGCACAGTAACGTGCCAGCGCCGATAAGTGCGACTCTTCTGGGTTGTCTGGAGCCGAGAACTATCAAAGCTAACCAACCAAATAGCCAAGTATAAGGATATGAAATAGACCTACATAGATCATCTGAGGTTGACTGAACTCCGAAGCTCCGTTACAATATGGTGTCAGAACGTTGCAGATTCATCATCATCTAGGCATGCAAGCCGTAGAATCCCGCTCTCCCACTAAAGATTTAACGAATAGAGGGCAGGGCCGCCTTCCTGGGCAACGATGGCTCGAATCGGCAAAATCAAGCTTTAAAAGCTATCCATCGAAAGCGGGGAAGCTAGAGTGTAACTTAAAAGGCAACTTATAAGTCGCATTGATATTGGTGGTCGTTAACCATGCCCAATAGGAATGAGAAATAATTGTTAGCTGGGACAGATGCGCCTGGGGCTGATATGCCTGATTCCTGATGAGATTTCAGCGTGTGAAAGGCTGCAGAGTTTGTGGGGGGGCTAGGCTGGCCAGTGCCGAGCACGCAGTGAGAAGATACGGGACTCGTATGTAGGAGGTATCGTAGACTTGCGAGCTGATACATCCAATCATCATCAGTCAACCAATCCCAAGTAGATAGGCCTGCAAAGTATCTGCATAGTGGTCGTAGATATGCAAGGCTCCATCGCCTTCTCATATATCAGATTTGTTATTCGCTGCAAGACGCAAAAAGCAATTGCTGCTCCCGGCATGTGCAAGCGAATATCGAGACGGGCTAGATGTTAATAGCAACTAAGCATATGTAGACTAATATTACCGACTGAAAGGCCTGTCAACAACTAGATCCGGCGGGCACCCGTAAGGGGCGATATTAGCAAGGATCAAGATTGCCGGCGGCATTGTCGCTTTTGCTGCGAGAGATGCATGAACGCT